GTCGAGTAGATGAAGGTCCACCTTGGGAAGTGTTCCACTGTTTCAAATCTGGATTCCATCCTAGCTCACCATAAGGGAACAATACCACATAATGCAATGGCAAATAGGCCGGATGACACTCATTAATTTGCATCAAACCGTTATCTCCTCTCAAATGTAACACAATATCTCTCATTCCACTTGATTCAGTTCCATCTCCCGATAATATTACCGCAATCTCATCGGTTGTTGGGAGATTATATCGACGCCGATCTGTTACAGAACTGTAGTGAAGATAGGCCGGTAAATTCACCCCCGTCAATTCCAATTCACTTAAAATTGTGTGAGCCTGTCAAAATTTCATAGGAAATGGATTTACTTGCAATAAACAATCTTGGATGGTTTTCAAAACATCTCTTCTCAAGTTAGGATTTCTGTTGGTGCGAACATCTAAAGCTGAATTAGGATCATAAATGTACAATTGAGAGTAAATTGGTTCACATCCTGGCTGTGGCATAAGCGATCCTGTTCGATGGCGTAATTCTCCATGGATGGTGAATGTTCTAGGCCCCCTCCCAACAATTAATCTGTCATCCAAAGTAGCACCAAGACTCGTAAACGCATTAGCTGCATTATACTCTCGTGTGTGCTGACGAAACGATTTTGATTGTTCATCATTGTTGTCATACAATGCTTTAAGCATTAAAGGAGGTGCAATAAGTGGAGGTAGTCTAATCTTTCCTTGTAAACAACATTTACCAAAGAGAGGATTTGATATAGATGATTTTGTTAATTTTTCAGCAACCCAGTGTAAGGCAGAACAATGAGGACATGTTCGATTCATCAAGCCAAGGAAATGACGATCTGGAATTTCATGGTTTTGAGAATTAAGTGCAACATCCATAGCTACACCTTCTTCTACAGTATAGGCACTACAAATAAAATTTAGATGTCATACAATTGGATTGTATAATGAGAACATGAATAAGACAGCAAGAGTGAGAATAGGAAATTAAAACTTATAGCGAACACCTGGTGCCTTCATTCAGATTGCGCATTTGTTGGAACATGTTTGTCATATCCGATGCCCCTGGGGAATATGGGGAGAATGGTTCCAAGACTGTTGTTATGCTTTTGTCTAAGTTTTGAGGAGGCAAGTCTTGGAGCATGGTAGTCACAGGCGACACCATTGAGATATTTGTTGGTGTGCCTTCTTCAAGATTTTGAGGAGGATTTTCTTGATTCATGATGGCCACAGACAACCACCGTGAAACAATTGTTGTAGTGTCTTCATTAAGATTTTGAAGCAAGGTGGTTGACAATGACTCTAAAACATTTGTTGTCACAATACTGTCTGTTACAGGATTGAAAATTTTGGTAGACAAAGTCATTGGTTGAAGTCGGGACCTTTTATTTGATTCTCGTTCTAGGCATGCTCGGCGACGACGGCTCGGTGGTAAAGAAGGAAAAAATCTAGGTTGAACGGGGGCACAATGTTTTGATCGCTCTCTTTCGTGACGTGCAAGTTGTCCCAATTGACGTTTGGAGCACTCATTTTCTTTCCCAATTTAACGCATTTCTGGAGCAAGCCTTGCACATTGCGGCAATGTTGATTGTGATATAACATTATACTTTGGTGCCTAAACCACAAACTCATAAAAAAATAATTATTATTTTATTGATTTAACGTATATCGTATCGTTTTTCACTTTTGTATATATAGCAACGCGAGGTAACATGACAAATCATAGTGCTACAATGTTAACAGTAATACGGATCAAAAGATTTACTAAACTCTTATTATGTATCAGTGTTGCATTAACAGAACTATCTACCTAACCACAGTTGCATCTAACACATTGTTTACTAATTACTGGACAGATGGCAAAAAATGCAATATCAGATTATAGAGTAACATGTTCTATAGTAATATGCTTGATCCATAGCATATTGAATTTAACAACTTGAAAGGTATGCTATGTATGAAAATATGCTTCAAACTACTGGGAAAGGTTGAGGTTTCACTATTGATCGATGCTTCAAATTATGGAATGTTCAAACAAATTTAGAGTTTTAAAAAATGGGACCCAACAAACGATTTAAAAGCATAAAGGCTACAAATCAACATTAAGATTAAGAAACTAAAACTCTCAACTACAAAACTGGTAAAAAAATAAAAAATCATAGTTTCCTAGTAATTTAATTGTATACACAGAATAACACGATTAAAAAAAAAATATTAAATGCGACAAACAAAAACCTTGTTGACAAATCAAACATTCTACATAAAACGAAACTTAAATTTTTTTAAATTCAATAACATCCAAATCCATTGTAAAAACATAGAGAAAAGAATAGGATTAAAAGTGATACTAGTTGGCAATCTTGATTTTTTGTTCCTTGGCTAGAAGCGGTTGCTTTTTCTTTCCCCTTAAATTTGTCATTCGCCAAAGCATCAGACCTTTTTTTCTCCTTCTGTGTAAGAAAATGCTACTTAAAAGCCAAAAAAAAAAAAATTTGAATGAGAAATAGGTGTGAGAATACACTACCTCACATATATGGAGACAATTTAGTTCATACTCATTGCGAATTACCACTCCTACATTATTATGACGAAGTCTTCGAACCTGTAGACCAAAAAAACATTGAATAGTAAATAAGCGGGTAAAAAGATTAGATAAAAAGTAAGAAAATGATGAGTAAGAAAAACTTATCATACGGTATTTTCTAGGTCGTCATCCATCTGTCACGACATTAATAAAAATAAATTAAAATAAATAAGTTATTAAACAAATCAATAAGATATATTTAGAGAGAGTTAATTAAATGATAAACTTACACTGCCAAATATAACGACATCATCCATTGGTCGATGATTGTGCAGTTGAAACGGTTGTAGCTAAATAGTAATTATCATAAGCTACGTATAATTAACATCAATTACAATGAAATTTTATACAATTAACCTACATTCCATCAAACATAATACATATACAAAAATACATACACATCCAATTCCTAAAACCAAAATTAAGGAAAAAGACAACCTAAATTAGTCTATAAATTTCACAAAATGAACACTACATAATAACCAACTCAACATGCATTCCATCCTAACATTCATAATAAAAAAAACCTATTTCATCATAACTATAAACCTATTTCATAGTAAAAATAAAAATAAAAACAATTAAACACCCAATTAAAAGACACTCAATTTAAATGTGGGTGTGTGTGTTTTGTGTGGTGTTGTGTGTGTGTGTGTTACTGCTATGAAAGAGAGATAGAGTGAGAATACAAATTAAACACCCATTAACTACTGTGCAGTGTGTGGTTGTGTGCAGATGTGCTGCTCTATGTGTGTGAGAGAGAGAGATATAGAGTGAGATATCCCTCAAGAAATATCGAAGAAGCTGTCAGCAACATAGATAATGGCTGCCTGTGATTAGATTATGACAATTCTATATGTAAAACTTGTAGATTTTGGTTCCACATTGTTGAAAAAATGTCATAGGGTGGATAAGATGGAATTGGCTTGCCATGGGTTGCAAGAATTTCATAAAGTTGGTTGCTGTAAGTGATCGACAAAAACTAAGATGGAGTTTCGGTGTTAAACAAAAGGCCAAAAAGCTAGGGGAAAAAGGTTGATGATGATTTGGTTATATTATTTGCTTAATAAGTACCAATGTTATATTATTTGCTTACGAAAAAACAAACTGATCTTGCTTTTTTTTGCCATCAATGTCATATTATTTGCTTACGAAAAAACAAAATAGAAATCAGGAATAAAAAAAGAGTAGAAACCTATCTTGCTTCTATATGGACCTTTGATACATAGCAACTCCTTGAATACCCTAGTCTTGACATTGATACTTTGTCTTTAACTGGATTAAAGAGTGAATTAATCAAAATGTACATAAAGTGGTCAATACACTCCTGATAATTAAACCAAACAAAATAATGGTTTAATTTACGCAGCATGCTCGTCTTGGAACACCTAGAAAAACTAAAGAAAATTAATGGAAAAAGAAGAATAAACTTGTGAAGAAGAACAATTAAGTCTTCCATTCTATTCTCCAAAAAATATTTACATCAAACTACTTAAAAATCAATGCTCTCAATGAAATGTTGAATAGAGATCAAAAATGGAAAAAAAAAAGTAATAATAGAGATCAAAAATGGAAAAAAAATAAAATAAACCCAGTTGAAAAATCTAATATTTTTAGAAGCTTGCATAAATTGAAATCTAAAGGAATAAAATCCCAAGGACCCCAACCATCTCCAGATGAATGCTTAAGATTAACTATAAGGAGGTCTTGAAAAATGTCAAAGAAAAGTGAAAATCAACCAGGAAAGTAATGAACAGTCTGTATTGGAAATACTTCAAATTCACTACCAGGTCAATTAGAAATTCAATTATTGATATATACAAAAACCTTCCATAAATGCATTAGAAGTTGCTAGAACTCCTACAAAAAGCCGATACCCAGATGAAAAAAATCCATGGATACACAGAGAAAGCTCTACGAAGTGAGAGATGACTCAGAAATATGATCAAAACAAAAAAAAAAAAAAAACGATGGAATAAAAATCATATTGGATAAACCTTGCTAAGGAATGGAATAAAGAAAATCTGAGTAATGAATCACACTTCATGGTGTTCAGTAGAATAAGGAATGGGAGAGAGAGAGTCCTCACAAATCTAAATCAAAAACCTATCAACTACAAAATTCATCACAAATCTAACATGCAACCTCAAATGCAGGGAACTCACACAGGACAAATCAAAAACCTGTCACAAAGAACCTTTCATACCCATCATACCACATGAAACCCCATTTTAAGAAAAAAATAAATAAATTAAGGGACCTGATCTGCAGTCTCATGACTCTCCATATTCCTCATATTTCAGAGTTTTAGTTAATTACCAAACAAATGGACCTTTGATACACAACAAAAGTCGGTCATACCGTGCTGTTAAGCGATTGGAGAGAGAGAAAGAGAGGGGGAGAGGGAGGTACCTGGGCTGAGCTGTGTTGATCGCCGCTGAGAACGTTGTGTTGATCGCCGCTGTGTTGAGCCATGACAGAGGAGTGAGAGGCTGAACCCAGCCGCTGTGTTGTGAGAAGGATTGGTTGAGAGAGAGAAAATGGGTTTACTATGAGACGTTGAAGAAGAGTGACTAGGTAGCTGTGTTGGGTGACTGGGTAGCTGTGTTGAGCCATGAGCCATGGCAGAAGGGTGTGAGGTGACTGGACTGGTGAACAGTCTGAATGTAATTTGGGCAGGAATTTTTTTTTATGTGAGATGAAATGAGGGCTATTAGATCCACTTTAAAGAATTAAATAAATCTAGACCGTTGAATTAAAATTAGAATTAATTTGAACCGTTCTTGTGCTTTCTCAAATGAATTTAAATTAAATTAAATTTTGAAGTGGAGAAAGATTCAAATTAGGTTCTATCTTATTATTATAGATAGATATTTAAAAAATTATAAAAACAAAAATAAAAAATATGTTTGGTATTATAATAGTGTTTCTATAATTCATTATAGTTATTTTGATTAATTTTCTAATCCCAAATATATCTCCACCCAACTACATGTCCACCCACCCAACCCAGCCACCACCAACACCACCCAACCCACCACCACCAGTCCTGGAAACCCACTATCAAAACCCTTGAAAACACACCATCAAAATCACCGAAAACCCACCACCACCACCCCTGTTTAGCCACCACCCAACCCACCTATTTACCCACCACCAACACCACTGGAAACCCACTACCAAAACCCCTGAAAACACACTACCAAAATCACCGAAAACCCACCACCACCCCTATTTAGCCACCACCCAACCCACCACCAACACCCCTGGAAACCCACCACAAAAATCCCTAAAAACACACCACCAAAATCACCAAAAAGCCACCACAAACACCACCGAAAACTCACCCCCAACCCTCGAAAACCCACCACAACCACCTAACACACCACCAACACTACCAAAAACCCACCACCCAACCACCGATTGAGCTTGAGACTATCTGAGAGGAGGATCTCAAGCTCTGAGATGAGGATACCCATCACACAACCACCGATTGAAGTTGAGAGAAAGAGATCTGAGATGAGGAAACCCACCACCAACCACCATTTGAGTTTGAGAGAGAGATCTAAGATGAAAAGTTTAGATTTTGTCTTCGTGGTAAAGCTTCAATTCTGCCTTCGTCTTCGTGGGACACTTCTGTTTCACAGAGAGAGAGAGAGAGAGAGAGAGAGAGAGAGAAAGAGACGAGGAGTTTCAGTTTGAGAGAGAGGAGGAGGAGGAGATTCGGTTTCAAAGAAAAAAAGAGAAAGTGATGAGCAAAAGAGATGAAAAAAGAAGAGTAAAAGGGTTTTTTTATAGTTAGCACAAAAAATCCACATTTTGTTGCTAACGGGATTCAAATGATGGATATCATTAAAGGGGGCATTCATTGTGCGCACGTGTTTTCATTTTTTGTGTTTATGAAAACACATATTTCCATGTTTGCATTTTTGGACGTGTTTTTAAAACGAAGTACCTTTAAAAAAAAATGAAAACACATTTCAAACGTGTTTTTATTTTTTATTTTGATAAAAATTAAAAAACAAAACAGAAAAAAAAAAAAAAAAAACAAACACACTTGGTTACCGAACGCTACCGTAGCTTTTCTTTGATGATGTCTCTCCATTTGAATAATCCATGAACTCTTAGTTACTTGATCACTATTTGTTCTTTGGAAAACCTTTATGCGAGTGACACTTGAACTCGACCGATAAACTTGCTTTTACTCGTCGACGTGACCTTGAACTTCAACAATTCAACTAGGAGTAGACTACGGTACCATGAAAAAGAACATATTGTACTTCCAAATTTTATTATTTTAATTGGTGTTTTTACAATTTTTATAAGTATTTTTATGATTTTTGTGATAACTTGCATCAATCCTAACATTTTAGGATTTAATAAAAATATTCACAAAAATTATAAAAACAATACAAAAATTGTAAATAGCTATACGGTACCAAAAAAAGGTGTCCCAATACCGTAGACTACTCCATTCAAGAGGTCGGCCCAAAGGGGTATGTCTTTTAGAAGTATTCTTTATCAAGAAGTATCTTTTAGCATCCAAAATACATGTCTGTTAAAATATTAACAGTCATGTCCTTATATGATGTGTCTTTTAATGACACCTATTGGTTGCCTATATAAACCCAAGACAATCCAACAGATGAGAGATCTTTTGAAAACTACTTAAACGTTAAAGTCTTATACTTTATTTCTCTCTCTGCTTGCATAACGTTAAGAGGCTTTTGTGTTGAAGAAACTCGGTATTGATTCCTATTGAGTAAAACACTATACTCCTCGAGCAATTAAAGAAAAGACGATTTTTAGATTCTGAAGTACTTTGAACATCCTTAAACATTTTTTTTTTAAAAGTGAATAAGATATGTATTTAATCCTACGCTTTCGCAATATATTATACGTTTACCAACATTGGTATCAGAGCTATTTAGGGTATTCTCGTTAAAACCTATTATAAGTGGTTTATAAATACATTTTTCGAAACATTATAAGTACATTTTTTCACAAATGTTTCAAATGAACTTTAATGGCGGATTGGACAAACGGTCTGCGAATGCTTTTAGGTTTCAGTACATAGTAAAACATATTTTTGAACAAATATGAAAAGTTTTATAGAACAATCATACAAAGAAATTTGACCGTGTGGCGTCTTCAATTGATCTGGGCGTCGGCCTTGAAATTTCAGCATTGCAGATCATTGCATTCCTTTGTCCAGTAGTATAAAGAATTGTGTTTCCAAATTATAAGAAATTGCCCTTGTCATGATGACGTAAGAAAAAAAAAACAAGTGACTCTAGAGATATTTTACTAGAACACTTTGGTTGGTAGTTCCCATGTGTCTTTTGTTTAGTCAAACACCAAAACTCATATTTTATTTGTTTTCTATTAAAAAAAAAGAATTGAATTATATCAATTTCTTGTGTTAGTGATTGGAGGCTTGATCATGTAAATATTAATAAACAAAGAAAATATTAAGGAATAGGACATGGGAATTGGTCATCGGTCTTGGTCCATGTATCTTTAGGAACAATTTTCCTAATAGTACATTATTGAGTTTATTTTTCCTTGGTACCTATGGACCGCCACATTTGTTTATGAGATCAAACTTTGACTATTTAACATTTTTTTTACATGTTTTATATGCTTATAGCATTTATTTCGTTATTTAGGGTGATTTAAATATAATTTCATATCCATTTAATTTTTTTGAGAACATGCATGATATGAAATTAATTATGATTAATATGTCTAGAGATACTAAATCTAGTGGGAGTTTATTTTGTTCGGTCTTAGGAAACCAAAATTTTGCGCATTAGTTAAATTAAGTGTTAATAATAATCACCTGTGGTGCAGGAGATGATTAGAAACTTAGGGAACTTTCGATCTCGCGACTTGTGAAAGTTGTTAATACTTGAATTTAGTTTTTTGCGGCAAAATTATAGAATGTGTTGTGCTAATATCTCATATGCATTATCTTTGCATGTAGATTAGATTATAATGACTACTAAAAACATAGTGGTTGAATTAACTAAGGACGACAAATTGAACGACGATAATTATGACATATGGCGTTGTAAAATTTGATTTGTCCTATACAAGCAACAAGTTTTGGATACTCTTGACTCTGTGCAACCAGAGCCTGAGCGACCTCAAATCTACCAAGAATAAGAGGATTACCAGTCTTGGCAGAAATAAGGATCGACTTGCGTGCTATACCATGCAAGCAAGCGTACAAGATGATCTTATTCCCGAATTTAAGAATTATTCCACAGCTCACGCCATGTGGAAGGCCCTCAAAGAGAAGTTTGGTATTAATTCTCTTGTTAGGCTTCGTGGTTTGACCATGAGGTTAGACTCGTATCAAAAGAAGTCAAAGTATACAATAAACAACATCTGAGGGCTATGGCCCCTATGATACATGATTTATGCGCTACTGGTCATGTGTTGACCAATGAACAACAAGTTCAAGCTATACTTCACTCCGTTCCACCATCATGAGAACATATGAAAGGAAATATAATACATAATGAGAGTGTGAAAGCATTCGAGAATGTATTGCATGACCTTGAGCTTGAGGTTGGGCGTTTGGAGGCTACCAAAGGTGAGAGTAGCTCTCATGTGGCTAAAGTTGGCTAGCGCAAGACCTTCGGGTTCAAGCATAAGCACGGTGGAAATAGGTCTGATGCTCAAACTGGGGTTGGTCATTCTAATTATAACAAGCACAAGCGGGGTACAAGAGCTAGTAAGAAGAATAAAACCAACATAGTTTATTATAACTGCAACAAGAAAGGTCACTTCACTCATTAATGCACTGAGCCGAAAAAGGTATTTTCTAGTATCTCTCGCATTAACTGTTTAGTTACTAGTCAAGTTTTGTTGCTCACTTTCCTAATTCATGGATTGTAGACTCAGGAGCAACAGACCACATAACGAGACACATATTCGGATTTGTGGAGTACTGTCGAGTTCCGACTGGAAGAAAACGAATTTACATGGGGAACGAAACCAGTATAGATGTGCTTGGGATTGACACATACAAACTGGAAATGTGACACGGGTGCACTTTATACCTTCATGATGTATTATATGCTCCAAGAATCCAACGAAATTTGTTGTCAGTTACTAGCTTAATGAGACTAGGTTTTATTTTTCGTTTTGAATGCTAGCATGTTGGCATTTATAGAGGAACTACATTATATGGATCTAGTTATATCACAGATAGTTTTATTGTATTAGATATTGATCATTCTAGCAATGAAATTTATTCTTATGTTACATCTATAGATAGTGTTGATTCTATTAGATGGCATGCTAGATTAGGTCATATTGGGCAAGACAGAATGAATAGGTTACGGCAAGTGAAAATTGTCTCGCAGTGATGGCAACTAGAAAACCATTTGGTAAGGCCAAAAGAGCATCTATTCCATTGCAATTAATACACTCAGATATATGGGGCCCAGTGAATGTGAAGACAAGACATGGTGCGTCCTATTTTATCACTAATCCAAAGGAGATTTCCTATTGAGTATGCTAAATCAAAACTTTCCTTCATTCTTCCTCGTAGTGTAATGTGTTTAGTTTGACTAGGTAGAGTGCAGACATGGTTGTGAGCTCTT